ACACACACACACACACACACACACACAAAAGGGGCAAACCGTGACTACAAATGCTAGCATGACTATTCTCAGTAGGTGCTTGCCTATTTTTCCACTCATTTTTCACCGGGGTCAGTTCTGCTACCCCAGACTTAGCTGTCACACATTTCCTCCAGCTCCCTGGCCAATTAGAGTAATCAGAAACAGGTGCAAACAGGTTTACACCACGGCTTCCTATAAGCATGTGTGTTTGTACTGTATGCAGACATAAGACCCACTTGGAAGGACAAAAAAGGCGAGAAAAAAAGCAAGATCGTTTATGGGAAAAGCAGATGCAGACCTGTGAAAGCAGCGCATATGTGTTTGCACGAGCGTATCTGACTGACATGAAATTATTATGTCTAAACCACAGTAAGAGTGGAGATCCTGTCGTCTGATTTAGACCCAAACACTGTTCAAGTTGTCTGATCGTCTACTTTGAATACCTGACACAGGGGAAACACAAAAGCTGACTTAAACAAAAAGTGACATTGGGGTCCATGCAGTAGCAAGGATCACAGAATTGATGAATGAAGGGAGCAGAGAAAATAAAGCCTCCTGCTCTGTTATTCCACTGACGTATGGCTCAATTATTATGAGCATTTAAATGGCTGACCCGAATGCTGCTGGAAATACCAGGGTCACAGTTGAGATGGAGGGTACACAATTAGATATTAGCATTACACTAGCCATGTGCAGTTTACAGCCAGGATTCTAACTTTGTATGGCATGTCTTTACCACTTTTGAAGTTACATCAAGATTTGACAATGCTTAGATGCGATGACTGGACCTGATAAAACCTGAATCACATTTTTTGCAAGCAAATAATCACAAGTGAGGAATGAGTGGATTCTGTTCCATTAACCACAGTGATGTATTTGAAAAAGTTACCGACAATACTCAAAGAGTAAAAGAACTGAATCTTTCAATTGAAAAAATAAAATATGTGACACATATAAAGTGGGACATTCTCAGTGATTTTTAAAGGTCAGCTGATGTGTAACTGTGCAACAGTCTGTCTCACTCTCCCAGCCCACAGCTCTGTCTGGTCTCAACTGTCCTGTGATTTCAGCAGAGCTGATCTTGTTGTCTAAATATTTCCTGTCCCAGTTTAAGAAGTTTTGCAGGAGAGCAGATGGTATAAAACTCAGCAGCATAATATTTCCATTTAGCTCCTGGGCTGCAGGCCACTTAGGGCCCACTACAACATAGTGAGTGACAGTTATAGGGAGGTTCCCTGGGTAGACACAGGCAAGATAGTCAAAGCTAACTCTTCCAGGTGTAAGATGTTGCCACCCCATTAGCATTAATGAGCATGGATGTATTTGTTTGTGTTTGTGGTGTTGTTGGGTGTAAAAGTATTCAGACATGAGATACCCTGTCAACAAAGTCATGAATCTACATTATAAAAGTTAAGCAGCCTTGAGAAGTGTATTTGTTATTTTGTTTGTATGGGTAAAGATGTATTTTTTAGACTTAGAGGTTCAAGGACCAGAATAGACCGAAGCTGGAGTTCAAGCTGTTCACATTCAACATTAAGGCTCATAAATTTTACAGCCTCCACTCTGTCTGTGAGGCGACACTTCACCTTTTGTCATGTAGACATCCCGCCAATACAGCAAGACAGCAGGACGTGTCTTAAAACAACATATCATGTGACAACCTTTGGTATGGTGAGCTAAAGTTAGAAGCAGAGGTCTCTTTACAACCTTAATGAGGCTTGTAATTACTTCTTAGGAAAACAGGCGAGGACCTTTCTCATAACTTTTCTTTCCCCTCATTCAGTGGGATGTATTTGCAGCCTGAACCCTCGATTAGATACTGATCAATTCTCAGTGACAGATTTGCTTTTAAAGAAGAAGAAGAAGAAGAAGAAGAAGAAGAAGAAGAAGAATTTTATTGATCACCAAAGGAAAATTCAATTGTCTGTAGTCTCATGTGTCATGTCTCCAGTCATTCACCATTTACAGAGGAATTACAAAGTCTGATGGCTGTGGGTACAAAACATCTTCAGAATCTTCCTGCTGCCCTACAGTGAAGTGCGATTAGGTCTCTTACATATTAATGTTATAATTTCTCAATTTTTTCGTCCTTTATTGTGATTTTTGTTCTTTTTTGCCACACATCATAGGCTGAGTTGCAAAACAAAAATCCCAGTAACTCATTCAGTCGTACAGTTATGCTCACATCAGAGCCAAAATAATATATTTATTTAAGATTTCCTGTTGCCTAGTGACATCCCTTTCTTTTCTTAAGCTCCAGACAGCATCTGTATGTACATGCTCTGTATAAATGAGTGAGCATGCACTCCACCCATACGGCTGCTGACACATCAAACACCTCAGGGAAACACACCCAATCTGCTTCTGATTTTTTACACTTAAATCAACCCGTCAATTAAGTGCTGTTTAGAGACAAGCCGGGCTCTTGCTGCGGCAGACAGATGGAACAGGAATGTCTGTCAGGACAGCATATGTGACTAGCTGGATGCAAACCGAGCAGGGGCTGATGGACTGCTGCAGCCTGCAGAGCCAAAACATGAAGCCTTCAATATTTGTTTTGTCTGGACTGCTGCACCACACACCTCTGTTTAAATGAGACGAAGAGTATGCATGATTGGTGTGATATGTGCTGTATCGATGTCAAATTGTTCATTCCATATATAGGCCTTATTAATGGTATGTAACAAGACAGATGGCCATTGGTTTTCCATTGAAAATACTCAGCTTGTGTACATCAAAGGTATAAAGCAGGAAAAGAAAGGATTAAGAAAAATGTATGTGTTCTCTTTTGTTCAGTGTGTCCCATATTGATATTAAAGTTGCAATACATGATCAAATTTAAAGGTTAATATAGACAGAAAATTCTTCTTTGTTCCTCTTGTTGTCAGTGAGATGTACATTTCTCTAATCATTGTCTTGATCAGCTGTGGGATAATGTAATACTGATCATGCCGCTCTAGCTCACTTCATGCATATTTTGCTCCATTGAATCATTAGTTCTCCTGCTTCCACCTGTTTGGGAGTCACCTTTTTACTGTCTTTCCACTCTATACTTAAATGCACTTTAAGAGGTTTTAACTGGTTGAGAAACAAACTTAAACTGATACTGATGCCTCTTATGACCTTCACAAGCAAACTAAACCACAAGTAACAACGCTGATAATTTCCCTGCTGTAATTTTTAATACCTGAAATAGATGTGAGGGGGTAGGTGTCGATTCTGTCGAACCGCATGTTTGACAGAAAGCTGAGGATCTAGCCTATTTTTCCATGGCAATTACTTACTGAGTAAAACATTTAACTATTTAAAGATGAAAAAAGAGGTTTATGTGCTAAAACAGCCCTTTCATATGTGCAGAACGAGAGATAAAATTACTACAACCACAGGGGTGCCAAATCGACACCAATCATAAAGTCCTCAAAGCAGCAGTGAATTTATTGTTGCTTTTGTTGCACAAACTTGACTGAGTAAAAGCATTCAACATTCTTTTGTTGGTGTGATGTGTAGTGTTTGGGAAAAGGCAAAACAAACCCCAGGTGCTTCACTGTGCACATGCAAGAGCAACTGTGGTACTGTGCAGTACTGAAGTCCATTCCCTCCAATCATGCCATGGCAAAGGGATTGTGGTGTGGTGTGCAACCACTGGCCAAACAAACCTAACTTAAGGGTCATTAAGGTCTGAACATGCCTGAGTACGGTACAGGTTGCCAAGTGTCAGCATGCCTTCAGTCTGGGGCCCTGAAAAGGAAACCCTTCTTAAACTAAGACCATCTCCCTCTCTGTTTCCAGGATGAGTGTCTCCAGAGATCTGTAACCTCTCTGTGCCCTCATCCTCTACATCTGAAGCTACCTGTCTGGTGAAGTCTTCAAGAACACAGCTGACAGCCATGTTGTTCTTGTTCCCTCCTTACTTGTGATCTTCTCATACCATACTCTTCATTGTGAAGCTGCTTTACTGTCTGCTGCTGCTGCTGAATTAATGTTTGCACTCTGTGGAATTTTCCCTGTCTATCAGCTCGCTTCAAACATCTGAGGCCCACATGAGGCTGACTGGTCATCTGCTGCCCTGGATCTTATCCAGCGGCAGTGTTGTGTAGCGGCCTGTGTACCTGGAATGACATCCAGGCTAGCACATATTTCATTGACTGCACACTGTGTATAAATACACACAGACATGGGAGCATATTGAATAGATTTTTCATTTGGAGGAAGAGAGATGGAAATCCTTACAGTTCAGCGCTTGAACACCAAATATCCATGACTGTGTTCTACTAACAAATAACGGTAAATGATGATGTGTAATGTGACTCATCATCACACACTTGGCCATTACGTTGACCAATCTGCCAAAAATAGGAAGAGATAGTCTGTGTACTTTGTAAGATTTTAATTCTATATTTGAAGTTATGTTTTAAAACAAAAAGAGGGGATAACTGGAGATCTAAAGAGATTCTCAATTTAAAGTAAAAGTTTGATTTGTTTTATTCACATGAGCCAATCTTGTATACAGTTGTTGAGACTGTGAAGTGATGCCTCTTTTGCTCATATGGTAAAAAATCCACCTTCCAGTCATCCCATAAAACTTAATAATCAACATTTAGATAACCAGATAAATAGAAGTAAAAATGTCAAGTTGAGATTTTACGGTCTTTAGCTCAGCCAAACACTTTGATAAGCTTGGGTTACTTTGTGAAATGCATGTTTATAAACCACTGGTCAAAAAAATAGCATACTTGTGTTCTTTTTACTGTCACAAACACAAGAAACGCTATTACATGAATTAGTGGAACCAAGTTAAAAGTGGAGTTATCAGAGCATAGACCACTAAAGCCAATTGTCTGAGAAACTCATGTAAGTGTCTGGATCAGTGATGCTGACTCACAAAAACTTGAAACTAAGATGAGTCTTTAGTACTCTGTTTACATCCAAGTCAACCCAAGTCACAAACATTGTAAACCATTTACTGCCTGAACCTCTACTGGCTGTTTGGGACCCACTGGATCTCATTTATTATCACACGGTTCAAATGGGTCCTGTAGGCAAGTCTGGAGATTTGAATTATCGGTGATATTAGGGGGCACATTCATTGTTTCTGCTGTGGTCGGATCATCACTGTAGATGTCTTATAGAACCAAAAAAACTTCCTGCCCACTGGCTTTTAATCAGAGTTTCACAAACCAAACCTCTTGGACTCAGAGGTTTTGTTGCAGTAAACTCCAATTGAACAGTGGACTTGCCAACAGCAACATAATCAACAGTGTAGTGTCTCAAGCATTTCCCTCCTTTTTGATTCATCCTGGATAAGTGTGTTACATGATTCATATATCATATATCCAACATTGCACCACTCTTGCTTGTGTTTGCTGCAAAGTATTTAATAGTAAAAAACTCAGTTCGTGTGTTGAGTCTGAGTCTGAGTCTTGGACCCAAGTCAACAACAGTGGGCTGTAAATACGGTATTTCTGAGGCTTAAGGAGTTGGTCCTTTCCTCTGAGGTAAGAATAAGCTGTGATTTCCCAATACAAATATTTACTGACCGTGCATTTATGAAAAACTGATTTTCAAAGATTTCAGAAATATCATGAACATGAAAGTCTATAATCAACAACAGCCTTTACATAAAAGAGGAAAGGGGGAAATCTGGATTTATTTTGAGTCCAGTACTCTATAATTTAGACACTGATGTCACTGTTTGGTCAATATTATTGCGTGTGAGGGAGCCAAATCAAGATCCAGCCCAAAATGGCCTGTACGTGAGTCGGATTTGGTCCCAAATGTAATGACTTCTCCCTCGGCCAATGAGCCTCCTTTTTACAGAGACTGATGACTGATGGTCAGTGTTTTCAGTAATCATGATGACAAACAAACAGTCTCATTGGCAGAGGTTGCAAGTGTCATTGTCAGAAACACAATATCTTTAACCCCAAATTGACAATTTTCTCTGTAGCTAAACCAAAAATTGTACAGGACAACACTCAAACAAAGACCACAAGAATTTATGCATTCACATGAAGGTTTTGAAAAAACTAATGGGGTGCTCACATCAAGCACGAGTAAAATCATCTACTCGCTTGATTTGCGCAAATCTAGACGTGTAAATGAATCGTATTTGCTTACTTCATTCGTGCGTCAATGGTAATTTCAAAAGTAATCCCTGCCAATTCAAACAGTGGGATCAAGTGACAGACAAAGGTTTTTTTTACAATTTACCAGGTAATCCGACCTCCTCACTCACTTGCCTTTAGGTGAGCTCCTTTTAATTCTGGTTTTGATAATTGAAAGAAATGGTATCATATAATTTGGGGCACTCACACACGATCAGTTTGTCAGTTTTAGATACCAGTGAACAACTGTCTGTTTTCATGTCACCTGGCAACCTTTGTGCTGATTGGTTGTTGTTACGCGAATATCTGCTTAAGTTGAGACATATTAAGCGTCCGCCCAATTCGCATCATTCGTGCCGCCAGAGCAAATGGAGCGTCTAATCCCATCTTTGCATTGACTTAACACATAATTTGTTCACGCTAATAATTTTACTCGCACTTGGTGTGTGAAGACAGTAAGAAGTCAGAGTTTTTGATGGGTGAATTTCCTTACCTCTAGTTTAGGCTGTTTCAGTCTTTGTGCTAAGCTAAGCTAGCTGATACCCTATTGACAAAAGAGGACAGATGTGGGATCAATACAAATGTTTCAGGAGAAAATAAACGACGAGTCCCCCAAAATATGGAACTCTCTCTAAAGGTTTTTTCATTTTGTCGTTGGTCCTCTCATAAAACGTACCTAACCCCAGATTTCTGGAGTCAAGCTGCGGCATGTGTAACCAGATAAATGTCAGGAAAGTGAGACTGAAAAAGAGCATACATACTGAGGTAACCCCCTTTGATATTTCAAAGATAGAAAAATACTTCACATTTTCTTTTCTGTGTTGCATTCTAAGTTCTGCCCTCCTTGTTTCTTCCAGACTATGCCCCATACATACGGCAGAAACATCTACTGGATGGAGACAAATGGAGTGAAGGCTGTCTGAACCCCCAAACTGCTGAGGCAGGGAACAAGGGGTGAAACGTAATAGCTCTGACCCAAATAGATTTTACAGCCGCTCCTTTCGTGCTGGGGGAGCCAGCATATGCAGAATACATTAAGCAGGGGTGATCAACAGCAGACATTATCTTCCTATTTTGCAAAGTTGGGCATGGATTACACTTGGTTTAGTTCAATGCCATGCAGGCCAAGGCTTGCACTCACCGTGGTGAATGGGCAGGAGCAGTGAGAGCCTATCCTGCCAAGTCTTACATAACCCTGCCCAGACAAGCTGAACTCCACTTTGCCTCAAACGAAAGTCCAGCCCTTTTTTCATCCAGGTAACACACACAGATGTTTCTTAGAGAGTTAACTCTGAAGGAGCTGGTGAATTACAGCTGTAGCAGCAGAGGGATAAAGGACAGGGAAGACAGGAAGAAAGATAAAGGTGGAGTTGAAGATAAATGGGAGAACAACGTGAGGCAAGAGATGATAGTAAACAGCGATGATTGGTTGACTGCTTCTCTGTAGTATAGTATGGGCTTTTGAGCTGTCTAGACTTCACCTGATGTATGATGGAAGTCCAGACCACGAAACCCCAGGGCAATGGGTAATGGACATTCATCTGTATCAGAAACCACCATCTCCCTGTCTCAGGCCTCTTTCCAGGAGACGCTGCGGAGCCTCCATGGTGAACTCCAGAAGCTGCTGAGATAAAGTCATGGAAACTCTGGGCCCCAAAGCTTGTAATTGCTTAATTGGACAGCTTCGCTCCCTCAACTATTTCTCTCGTCTTTTCCTTCCCTATCTAGCCACATGCACAGATGAAAACATAAACCAGAAAGCTCAGTCTGGGAGGTGTGTATGAGTACATGTGCCTGCACGTGAATACCAATGATTGTTGGAGCTGAGCTGAAGCCTGACTGTGATTTGTGGTTCTCTGATTTGGAGCCATTTTTTCCACTTTCAACCACAAAGCTCATGTGCCACAAGCTGGTCATGGAGGCTACAGCTGGTAGGGGGTTGGATAAGTGTTTTAGGGGTGTAATTTGTGCCTTGTCTCTGATGAGTCACGCGTTCAGCTTCTCCGCCCACTGACAAGCAGTAAAAGTTAAGTACCGAGCAGGGAGTGCAGAAACTGATCAGAAGAGGGTTTTTGACATGTGAAACTCCTCCATATTCTGCAGCAAGGAGAATGGAGCATGGCTTTTCATGGCATAATCTGTGCTAAAAACTTTCATATCATACTCAGTTTTACTTTTTACACGACATCATTGGTGTTAGACATATTATCTGTAATTATACCAAACATATAAAGTGCAATAAAACTACTCATAGGCAGAACTGTTTTACATATTGTATGGAAAAAATTCCCTTATATCATTTGTGATAATGCTTTTTTTATATAATGCAGAAATGCTTTTTGACAACATGTGCAGTAATACTGATATTGAGTAGAACAACTTTTCAAATCATGTGCAACTGTACCCTTTATATCTTGCAATAATGCTTTTTACACGTGCAGTGATGCAAATGATAAGCAAAACTACTTTTCATTTTATGTGCAATAAGACCTTCATATCCTGTGCAGTAGCCATATTTTACATCATGTGAAGTTATAAAACTATATAATATACAGTATCTGTCGTTGGGTTTTGATGTTAAATACTGTTATTCGTACTTTCAGATTTCCTTACATTGTTTCTGTACTCAACTAAGTCTGTTGCTTAACTTATTTAACTTTAATTGATATTGTTGTACCCTTATACATATTTTATTATACATGTTTAATACAAGACATCCTAATGCTATTTTGGTTCACTCAATTTTACAGTCATTATAAGACCTGGCATCAATGTATCCTTCAGGGATTACTAAAGTTCTGTCTTGTCATATCATGTTTTATTAGTTGGATTTTCCCTCCCTGGCTGTGATTTTATGAGTGTCAAAGACATAAAATTCCATCATAATTGTCTTGTAAACCAATCAAATTAAAACTTTTCAATGTTCTTTGAAATAAACATTCGTCATAAATGCCAATTGTGATGAAACAGAACCATATTATTGCTTAACTGTTTGATTTTATAGACCCACAAAGAGATATTTGGTGCCATAAAAAACACTTTATACCTTTAACTACAGAATGTGGATAATTTACAGCTCTCAGGGGCCACTTTTTTGCAGCATTTACAGTAATCTTAACATTCAGCGTGCTCCTCCAGTGGAACACCCAGGTGAAGGTTTCTATCCTGGTCAAGTCGTTTTGCCACTTGAGCACTGAAGCGCTATGAAATCCAGCAGACCCTGAAACTCCAAAGAGCTGGAGATAGAGCCACCGTAATACCGCAGAACAGTAAAGAGGCGGAACACAGAGAGGAAAGAATTCAGGTTCATTGTCCGATGAGATTTCATGGTATAGGATGACTTGTTCTCAATGTTTAAGACTAACCAAAAGGGGCCAAGAGGGATGGTTTAGATATTATCCTCCTCTGTGTGTCAAAATATTTAAAGGATTGTAAATTTCTTTATATGGCAACTACACAAAGGAAGAACCAGAAAGGTTTTACTATTAATATAGTTTTCATGTGTTCAAAGAGACAAAAATCAGCCTGTTGTGACTCTTTTTGGTCCCCTGAGGCTTGTCCAAGTCCTTGGCTGTGAGATGACACTAACAACACACCCATTCATCACTGGAGCCCTGGTCTTGAACTGTTTAACAGATGAACATCAAGTCAAAAGGATTTCCTCTTGTCCTAAATTTCTGCCATCCCTGTCAGGACGTGGCTGAGTTATGACACAGGTTGGTGCTGATGTCATTATTGAGCAAAGATTTAAACAGCAGATTGAAATACCTGCTGCAGACAGAGAACAGATCCCTGAACATGTGTGACTCCATTCACAAGAAAATATTTTGATTCTCCATCCCTGTGGTCTTCACTTGTCTGCATTGTAAAAACACTCTTCCCTCTATGTTTTTTTTAAGATTTGTATGTGTTTTGACATATTTCTTCATACCCATGGTTATTTCATTAACTCAATGTTGTCAAATAAAGCAAAGAACTGTGTAACTGCTGGCAAAACCTTATAGGCCCGATGGACTTGTAAATTAAAACCATAAAATTATAATTACTACAGAAGTCGCTCGACAGGACAGTGATAATAAGGCTGTGGATACCTAATAGATAATGACATGTTTTAACATCATCATGCTGCAGATTATAAAACTCAAACTTTTTTTTCCCTCTGTAAAGCCAAGACAACATTATTCTTGGTATGAAAGTGTCCAGAACATTTCCAGTGTGAGATGATGGGCTACTTATTTACTGCAGATAAATCAACATTTCTTCTGGAAAGCAGGGTGTCAAAATTATTGGTATTTACCACGTCTGTGGAAGAAACTGTTCACATGAAATCATCTGTGAAATAAATAATAAAGACATTCACCTTTAAACTGACACAAAAGTGAGTTGAGTTTTAAGAGAACTGTGTTGTATCTCAACCAGCAGTTTTCTCTTACAGACTAAACTAACACAGAGCAGCTACTTTGGATACAAACAGGATGCATGAGCCGTAGTGTGTGTGTGTGTGTGTGTGTGTGTGTGTGTGTGTGTGTGTGTGTGTGTGTGTGTACACTGGTATACCTATTCAAGAGTGACAAATTCACCAACAAGAGACTTGCCAGTAAATAGAGAACATTTTTTCAGGTCTCCTCTTAGACATGTTTTAAATCATCCTGAAAACACTCTGATGAAGTTTTACAATTTTGGCCAAGAGGGGACCTGAAGGTATAATATATAGATATAATATATAATATCTATCACACACAATTCTGCTAATATGATGTTAAAACTACTTTTTTTTCATAATCAGGAGTTAAACAGATTGAATCTGTCTATGGCTCAGCTGCATACAGGCTGTGCTGAAACAGACTTCTCTGTATAGGTATGTGTAACTGTGATCAGAGGCCTCCACATAAACATGGATTTAGGCCTTGACAGTCTCTACAACTTCACAGCACAGAAGCAACAGCTGATGCACCAGGTTGTGAAAGCAGAAAAAAAAATCAAGGGAAACAAGAAAGTCATCCAGTTCTCCTTGGATCAAGTAGTTAACTTAAGAACAACTGGGATGTCTGCAGAGCTTCTTAGACCAGAGGGATTCCTCCCTCTAAGGTCAACACAATTTCACAGAGGTGCAACAACAGCAGATGTTTAAAGCTGTCAAATCTGACACACCTCCACCTGTGAGCCATCAGAAGATTTCAAATCTTAAAAAAAAAAAATTAAAAAAAAAAGGCCAACCAGGTAAAGTATCAGCAAGCACCTCAACTTCAACACTCAAGACCCTCTTCTTCTGCAGAGAGAGACATTTTCAAGACAGGGAGAGAGAAAGAGAAAGAGGAGGGAGGCTGATATGATATGATGCAAGACAAGATAATACCATACCATAGGACACACTGCAAAACAGTGTGATATGATAGGACACAACATGGTAAAGTACAGTACAACACAATATGTTCAATATGATACAATATCGTACCATATGAGACAATGTGGTGCATATGTGTACAATTAATGTACACATAGTGGTACAATTTCATAAACTTGATAACCCTTTAAGAAAATTTGTCCTATATTTTTAGTTGTAGTTGCTCTTTGCGTTTCATATATCATTGTAATGATTACCAACAGAGAATAAGAAAGAAGTCTTTTACTCTTAATAACAAGATTTTTTAGTACAGTAAGTAAAAGTATGTTATGAATCTGTTGTGGGTCTTGAATTTAGCAGTTGGAAAACTGTCTGCTCAGTAGGTGTTTTCATAGTTGCTTTCAATGATATCACATGCTTTTTTCCCAGCACATGGAGTTCATCACGATGCTGCTGAAGCTAAATACTTTTTATTCATCTTGACCACTTAATAACAGCCCAGAAAAAGCAGCTCCATAGCAGCTACTTAGTAGACTTGGTGGTCAGGTTGTTTTCACAAATAGTTAGTCATGCTGATTTTTTCAGTCACCACAACATTAAAGCCGTTCTGTACAGTTACTGCTGGCAGAGCTGCTCCCTATTTATTTATTGATTTATTGATTTACTTCTGGGTCTAGACTTGGCTTTTCCAGGTTTAAGACCAACAAAACCTTGTTATGTAATTGAAAAGAAAAAAAAAAAACTTTAACGAATACAAAATTAAAAAATCTTTATCGCCATTTTTTTCTTAACAATTCTTTGGCACAGATCAGTGGTTAAATCGGTGTAAACCGTATTAATGTAGTATGTCTGAGTTGAAACG